TCTAAGTACCATTTTAATATTTTACGTAGAATCTTTTTCATTATTTTACGAATGGTACAGGTTAGAGATTTAGTCAATACAGAAAAAAAGTTTTCTTGGTTTATTGTCTTTTAAAAATCGTATAATAATTGCTTCGCGCTATAGAAATGGACTTTGGAATTGAAATGGACTTGGAAATAAAATTGCTTTACATCTTTTATGGGTCTGCCTTATGATATTTTACCTTCTGGTCTTTTACCTTTGAAAAACACTTGGTATAAAAGGTAGAATGCTACAATGCTGCGTCTTTTCTATTAGGTGTTTTTTTGTAGAGTCGTGGACCCTGAACAAAGATATGTCCAAGAGATTAAGAGTATTTTGAGATGTGGCTGTCGCGAAGAATATTCAAGGTCCTGTGGACTGATACAATTACAAATGGAAAGGTTCTTAGAAGAATGGAAAAAAACTAAGAGGTACTGAACATCATCAAATCTCGAAAACTGCAGTAGTTCGGACGCATTATGAAAAATAATCGAGATATATCTTTCTAGTAGCTACACTGCAGAGAAACATATTTGGAAGAAAAGGTCCAGCAAACAAGGGCACATTTTAGTTAAAAAATCCCAAACCCTGGTACAACACAACATCCACATTGCTGAAGACAAGATAAATATTGCCATGACGATCTCCAACATGAGGCACGAATAGGCACATCAAGAAAAATAATCATATTTAACTGTAGCAAGAGAACCACCCTATATTTTAGAATTTACGTGTTTATTTGAACTGCTCGGTATCTTTTTTAATCTTTGATGTTGTGGGTTTCCTTATAGGGTGCTAAAGTTATTAAAAGTTAAAGATTCTTATAGTGTTGCGTCCATTGTTGTTCATTAATGACTATAAAGTAGGCGGCATTTTTCTGTTCTACTCTTTTGCTATATTATTATGTTAATATCTTTAATTTTCCTTATGTGTAAATCATTTTTAATTTGACAAATCAACCTCTGCCTTGAATTTTTTTGCTTCATTTCGAATTTCTCCGCGTATCTTCTTGTTCTTCATGTGTCAACTTTGTCGTATTTGGCAAGTACTTGTGATGTGTTCGTTTTTCGTTAATAATCGTTCGTTAATTTTAACTTGTCGATTTTATTTTTGTAAATTTGTGATGCTTATTATTTTCGTTTTCTTGTCTACGATCTCATGAGCTTTAATTTTCTTTTTAAATATATGTTTTAACAGTTTTTCAAATGCTCATTTGTATCTTGTAGCTCAGTCCATTGTTCAACGTACTGATTTATTGGATTAGTATGTATTTTCGTTATAATTAAGTATATGATCATTCCTTTTAATAACCCCAACTTTGTTTACAGAAAGATTCACAAAGCCGTTAAAATTACAAATTTGAAAAATGTAGACGGAAGGGTGACATGTACCCTTTCATTCAAAGGTAGATCCTACATAATCCCAGAAAATCATCTTTCCCGATCACTGTGAGCCTCTCCAAAAGAAAAGAGTTCACTGCTAGTTGCTGCTATTCAGGTTATACAGAGGCGATGAGAAAAAGTTAAAAAGGACGAATTTATGTACCGAGTGGTCCAATACGCCGATCTCTCAGCTATATATCAGAAACTATTGTTGTTATAACTTTAGGAGAAAAAATTCCTTAGTAAAAGTGGCCAAGGAAATCGCTGAAAATAACTTTCAAGGTTCTGGGTTTACCGCTAGGGGGCGTAACCTGTGAAGAAAATTTTGAAAACCAGTTTTTTGTAAAATATTTCCAATTATACCAAGTGGTACATAGGTAAACTAGAAAGAGGCCTAAATTCCGCACAAAGTTGTTCAAGCACTTTTTTTTATTTTTTCAAATAAAGGATGGGGGAGAGTGGGAAAATATTTGCGGATAAATACCTATAACTTTGGTTTGGATCAACCGATTTTAACAAAATTATTTTCATTAGAAAGAGTGTGGATGATTTAATTTACATCTACTGTAAAACAATTGCATTTGGTTTAAATTGTCATGGGTAGAGGGTACTTTCGAATAGAAAATATTAAAATTTGTTTTTCTTTAAAATGTTTAATGGAAACACCTATTTATTGTAAATTATATAATAATAATAGTCTCCCGTTTTATACCGCACGCGGCTTTGGGAGTATAGCAGGGTAGTCTGCTATATCTAGGGCCTACGGTATACAAGGAAGGTAACATGGCCAGTGCTACGCTTCAACCGCCTATTATTACCCCTGGTTTTACCCAAGGTACTCATTTTATTCAGGCTGAGTCGACCTGGGGCCTATAGACATTTTTAAAAATGTCTAGTTGTTCTTGCCGGCGGTAGGATTCGAACTCACGACCACCGGCATGCGAGGCAAGCACACTACCGCTTGCGCTACGCGGGCCCTTTATGGGGCCCGCGTAGCGCAATATATATATATTTATTGTAAATTATAATGGAACTAAAATAAATTCGTAACAGAATGGCGTAGACCGCATGTGGATAGCTTTTGTCGAACTCGAGATATGAAGAAAACCGCATAAACATAAGTAAGTATAGTATTGACTCACCCTTTATTATAACTTAAAATTAAATATGTAAAAGATCATACAAATATCTCAATCATTAAAACTTAATGTCCAATTAAATGCTCAAATTGTTTTCCATCGTTGTCCATACAAAGATGTAATATTTCGCGCTTAGACATAACAACTGCTTCAATCTCAACGGTTGATATACTATTTATTGAGTTTATAATGCGCTGTTTCATATCGTCTTGCGTGGTTGGTCAAGTTTGGCATACTAAGTCCTTCAGTCTTCCCTGCAGATAAATGTACAGACATGTTAAGTAATATACTTCCCCTTCCAATCCATTTATTTGGATAACTTGAATATAAATAATCTCAAACTCGTATGGAAAAGTGCGCAGAACACCCGTCATGTTGTAATATCATATCTCTTCTTGCTTGTAAGGAAATATGTTCCAATAAGGCAGGCAACTGATTTTCCAGAAAATTCAAATATGTTTCGCCATTTAAAGTTCTATCAAAGAAAGATGAACCTACGATCTTTCCATCAACTATACGACATTAAACATTAAGACTCCATCTACCTTGAACCTGCACCTCATGTATCCAGTGCGAATTTTCTTCAGCCCAATAATGCATTTTATGCAGATTAACACCACCCGTAGTATTAAACGTAGTCTCGTCTGTCCACAAAATCTTTGACATGATATGTGGTTGTCCTTCTAGCACACCTAACACCCAATTGCAGTAATCCAGCCTTGCATCAAAATCTCTCTCATGTAAAGCTTGGTGGAGAACTATATGATAGTCTAAAAAACAAAACAACAAATACTGGTGAAAAAGAAACCACTATATTTAGTAAAACTCAAAAAAACTTGAAAAATCCATAAGATAAATCGTGCATAAGTATTTTTAAGCAACGGATAAAAAAATAAAAGTACCGTATTGCCGTTTTTATCGGAATATTAAAATAACAGTTGAATCTAAAGTTTAAAGGGAATTCCAAGTTTCTGACCTAAACGTTCACTTTATAATAATGAAAAACCAACCTATGATATTTTAAAATTCTTAGAACAGTAGTTTTGGGTATGTTTAATTTTATGGAGATTAGCTGCTACTTATATGTGGATTCTGTTGAATTAAAGCAAGAACATTGATTGAATTATCTTCAGTCATACCTCTAGTACGCCGTTTAAAACAAGGACGATAAAAACTACCACTTTCTCTTAATCTTTTTGCCTTTCTTTCAAATACTTCTTTGCTATAATGTCTCCTGTCAGGATATCTTACAAAATATATACGTGAGGCAATAGCGGCATTTTGGTGACATTCGAAATAAACTCCAATTATATCATACAATTCTGCAGTTGATATGCTCATCACGAATTATTAGTACTGATAATTAATTACCTACTAATATTACCAATAATAATATCTATTGAAAAAAGTGCAATCTTCAATTCTTATTATAATATAACAATTCTTAACAATGTTTTGACTGCTGTCAATAAATAAACAATATGAACTTCCCGTCAAATTTATTGTCGTAGCCTACTTAGTTTCGAAAAAACTATTTTTAATCATATGAAATAACAATGGCCAAAATAGGTATCAACATTAAGATTCTTCTTCTACAAAAAATTTAAAAGTACATACTGACTTATTTTTTAATTTAATTTATAATACAGGGTGAGTCAATACTATACTTACTTATGTTTATGCGTTTTTATTCATATCTCGAGTTCGAAATAAGCTATTAACATACGGCTTGCGCCATTTTGTTACGAATTTAATTTAGTTCCATTACAAGTTATAATAAATAGGTGTTTCCTTTAAACATTTTTAAGAAAAACAAATTTTTTCTATTCGAAAGTACCCTCTACCTATGACAATTAAAACTAAATGCAATTATTTTATAGTTGATGTAAATTAATTGTTCCACACTATTTCTAATGACACTAATTTCGTTAAAATCAGTTAATCCAAACCAAAGTTATAGGTATTTATCCACAAATACTTTCGCACTCTTCCCCACTCTTTATTTGAAAAAATAAAAAAAGTACTTGAACAAGTGTGTGGAGAATTTAGGCCTCTTTCTAGTTTATATATTTATCACTTGGCATAATTGGCATATTTCTCAAAAAACTGCTTTTCAAAGTTTTACTCACAGGTTACGCGCCCTAACAGTTAACCCAGAAACCTAAAAGTTATTTCCAGCGATTTCTCTGGGTCACTTTTACTAAGGATTTTTTCCTTCTTAAGTTAAAGCCGAGAGATCGGCTTATTGGACCACCCGGTACATTAAGTAAATTAATAAAGAATATTATTTTTGAAATATATGCCTAAGTTGTGTAGAACTTCAAATCTTATTACAAGCATAAAGGTTTATAATTATACAGGTTTTGCCTACAAAATAGAATGACAACATATATGTTTGTCACACATACTTACTTTATCATGATAATTTTTATTACCTACAATTTAAAAGAGACTATACCTGTCGTGTATTGCCGCTCATATCGGCCAATTGCTTTTTCAATTTGATTGCAATTCGTTTTTCGGTTGGTTGGATTAAATACTCAAATTGCTTTTCTGCTTTTGTTAATATTAATGTTGTATCCTGGGTAAGAATAGTTATATCAATATCTGAAAAAGAAATTTATATAATATATAATTCTATATAATTCTAAGTAAATAATAATGTGATTAATAAAAATTGAAGGGCTTATTGTGAAACAATGACAAGCCACACATGAGTTCAAAAAGAGATAATGCTATGCTCGGTTAATGTAAAAATTATAATAATATACCAAACCACTAGAAATTTATTTCAGCCCTTCGTTAATAGAAAGCGCTGTAAACCTATGGTTACATGATGTTGATGATAATGACCGTGATCCTGACTATGTACGGTCTAGAAGTAGGCACTCAAGTGATGAAAATACAGCGGTATGTATTTTTTTTTTGTGAAATGTGGCTTGTCACATTATTACCATCCAAGACTAAAGTATGATTGTAGTGACTTGTGACATGGCTATATATAATATAGCATTTTGTTGTAGGATATTGAAAAACATCCGTCAAGAAAAAGGACAAAACCAAACACACTCGATAAAACACCAAGTCGATGGAGACAAAGAAATAAAGACTCTTATTCAAAATCGAAAAGAAAAATTCGACGAAATTTAGGGCAACCATATGTAAGCGACAAAACGAAAAAACAAATGTGCCTGGTCGAGAAATGGGGCTGCCTTTCAGTTGCACTAAGAATTGTAGGGAAAATGCTTCAGAGCCACGAGAGCAATATTTTTAACGAGGATTTTTGGAACTTTGGTTCATGGGAGTTACATAATAGCTTCTTCTTCTTCTTCAAGTGCCCTGTCCGTTGCGAACGTTGGCTATTAACATGGCAATTTTGATCTTGTTTCCGGCGCTTCTGAATAGTTCGACCGATGTGAGCCAGAACCACCTCCGCAGATTTTGGAGCCACGAGTGTCTTCTCCTGCCTGGCCCTCGCTTACTGTCTATTTTTCCCTGGACAATCAATTGTAGCAGACGGTACTTATCGTGTCTCAATATGTGGCCTATTTATTTAAGCTTTCTTTGTTTAATTGTATTCACGATTTCTTTCTCCTTTCCGATTCTTTGGAGAACCTCTATGTTGGTGACATGTTCGGTCCAGGATATACGAAGAATGCGTCGGTACACCCACATTTCGAATGCTTCTAGTTTTCTCGTTAGCGTCTCCGTCAGCGTCCAGGCCTCCACGCCATACAGCAAGATCGGAAAAATGTAGCATTTAACTAGACGTAGTTTTAAGGGAAGAGACAAATCCTTGCTTATGGGGAGCTTTTTCATATTGCTAAATGCTGCTCTAGCTCGTTCTATTCTCGCCTTAATTTCTATGGTCTGTTCCCATTTTGCATTTACGTTGGTGCCAAGGTACACATAAGATTCTACATGGTCAATTAGTATGTTACTTATTCGTAATGGTCGAGCAGGTTGTTGCTTTTTGCTTATCAGCATCCACTTTGTCTTCTTGAAGTTGAGGCTCAGGCCGTATTCCTCACTAACTGAATGAAGTCTTTCCATTACTTGTAGTAATTCGTCTATGGTACTGGCAAGAATCACCGTTGTCGTCGGCATATCTTATATTGTTCGTTAACTCGCCGTTTATTTTTATGCCCTCATTTGCATTTTCCATACATTTGTTAAATATTTCCTCGGAATACATATTGAATAGGAGTGGGGATAATATGCACCCCTGACGGACACCTCTTTTGATCTGCACGCTTTCAGTAAGTTCGTTGCCAATTTTTGCTCTTGCTGTTTGACCCCAGTATAGGTTTGCCACAATTCGAATGTCCTTGTCGTCAATACCTGTCTTTCACAGAATACCTATCAATTGTTCATGATTGACATTGTCAAATGCTTTTCTAAAATCTCCAAAGCACAAATACACGTCCTTATCAACGTCTCTACACCGCTGTATAAGCACCTGGAGAGCGAAAATTGCTTCTCTAGTTTCAAGTGCTTTCCGAAAACCAAACTGCGATCTATCAATATTTGATGAATGATCTTAGTGAACGCTTTAGTGACATGATTGATCAAGCTTATAAACCGGTAGTCATCACAAATCTGGGCATTTGGTTTCTTCGGGATTGTAATAAATGTTGACTGCAGCCAGTTCTCCGGGATTTTACCGCTATTATATATGTTGTTAAAAAGTACAACTAGATTATCAAGGAACTGTTTGTCTGATTTACATAGGATCTTTAATATTTCGTATGGTACATAGTCCGGACCTGCTGACTTATTGTTTTTTAGTGCTGCAATGGCATCTTCTATCTCCGATTTAAGGATTGAGGGTCCTGTTTCTCCTTCTCCATATAGGTGATCATCAGTCCTGTCAGATGCAAATAATTTTTCTATGTATGATATCCATGTTTTTAAGATCGTTGATGGCTCCGAGATAAGATTTCCATCGCTATCTTTTATGCTGTTGGGTGACTTATTGAATTTCCTCTTGTTTGTCATCGATTTTATTTTTTTGTGCATATTGTAACTGTCGTATTTTCGTTCGTATTGTTCTATTTCCCTGCATTCGTTGGAAAACCATTTTTCTTTGGCTTCTCGTATTTTCGTTCTTATGGTTTTGTGGATCTGCTGGTATTTTACAAAATAGCTACTTATCCGGATGTATAGATATTATTAAGAAGAAAAGGTCCTACCGAAAGAAGCAAAAACAGACTTCAAGCTTTTAAGGGCAGAGTAAGCAACATTGTTCGCAAGAAGATATAAGGAAATCTAATACCAGAAAGAGACAACAGAGGACAGCATAAAAACTGTGTACACAAAATATCTGATTCAGAAAAAGTAAGTGTAAGTATGTAAAAACCACTGGTTGAAACTTGATATGCACTTCGCGTGTGCCGCTGGTAAATAATCAAACTCCCTGTGAAAAAACTGACTTTATTGAATTAATTAACAATACATAAATAAAACGCTAATACGTATTGTTTCGCTCGCTGGTGTCCACCGGCCTCGACTTCTCATATTTGAATGATGCTGTCGCCCTTGGAGTGCTTTTAGAGGCTCGCCTTATCTTCACATATGGCATAATATATCTTCCTACGCTACTATGTTGCCGGATTGTAAAATGCATAAAAAACTTAAATTAGATAGAGGCGTGAACAACCACATACATTTAATTCCAAAGTATCATGGTCACTATAGTCGATAAGAGAACATAAATAAAGTTTACGTGAACCTCAATATGATTATATCCCGTCTCTATTTGGATTGATATGTCCCTTGGTGTAAAGAAGCGGAAATTGAACCAGTTACGAAGCATACTTACCGTAAGATATGCTGTATCGAGTATCTCCTTCTTCTTCACGTGCCATCTCCTCTAAGAAGGTTGGCAATCATCATGGCAATTCGCACCTTCGACGCCGCTGCTCTAAAGAGGTCAGCAGAAGTGCAGTTAAACCAAGCGTACCGAGTATAATATTGGATTTAGGTTGCCAAAATCAGATACTTGCAAGACATGCAACGAATTTATTATCCAAATATCTTATCTGCAGCAGCGCGGATAAGCTGCACATATGTTGTATTGAACCAGATTCTGAGGTTCTTCAACCAAGATATTCTTCTTCTTCCTGGATCTCTCTTTCTAAATATTTTTCCTTGCAGGATGGCTTACAGGAGAGCATATCTGGATTCATTTCGCATAATATGTCCGAAGAATTGTAACTTTCGAGATTTAATGGTGATTAGTACCTCTCAGTTCTTATGCATTCTTCTAAGGACCTTCTCATTTGTGACTCGGTCAGTCCACGGGATATTAAGTATTCTCCGATATAGTCACATCTCAAATACTTCCAGTTTTTTGCTTATATCATCGTTCAAGGTCCACGATTCAACACCATATAAAAGGACAGAGAAGACGTAGCATCGCAGCATTCTTACTTTTGTATCAAGAGAGAGGTTGTGACTCTTCAAGAAGGCCCTTATCCGATTGAAGGTGGATCTAGCTTTTGCGATGCGTGCTCTAATCTCCTGGTTGTTGGCCCATTCTTCATTTATTATGGTGCCTAGCTAGTTGTAGTGCGTCACTCTTTCTACAGGAGATTGGTTGACGTAGAGTTGACATTATGTTATCCTTTCCTGGCTAATTAATATAAGCTTGGTCTTTTAACGTTTATATTGAGTCCATATCGTTGACTGTAATACGTGATTTTGTTCATAATAACTTGTAGGTCTTCTAAGTTGTCCTCAAATAGTATGGTGTCATCTGTATATCTGATGTTGTTAAACCGGTAACCATTTAGTAAAATACCTTTTTCAGTTTCGTGCAAAGCTTCGATAAATATTCTTTTAGAATACAGATTGAAGATTAGAGAAAACAAAATACAGCCTTGCCTCACGCCACGCATGATTTTCACATAGTCAGTGTGTTCACCTTCAACTCTAAGATTTGCTGTCTGATTCCAGTAAAGATTTCTAATTATTTTCAGATCTCAGTTGTTAATTCCTGCTCCTTTTAGTATTTGCATCATCTTGTCGTGCTGTACTCGATCAAACGCTTTCTCGTAATCAACCAGACAGCGCCTCTGCATCTATGGAATAAGACTTGTACTGAGAACAAAGCCTCTTTAGTACCAACAGCATTTGTGAACCCGAACTGGTTGGGAGAAATTTGATTTTCACAGAGCTTGTAGATTCTCTTATGAATTCCAAATATGAGTCAGGAAAATGAGAATAAAGAAGATTATAGCAAATTAACAACAAGACTTAACTTGCACAAGTGTAACACTTAGGCAATGCCATAATTACTAAAGAGCGCAACAGCCTGGTCCAAAAATGGATAAGAAGATATGTGTTATATCGTTTGACTTGCTGCAAGCGTTACCGATTCCCAAATTAACCACTGGCCCTGCATTTTACTGCAGAAAAATATGGATGTATATTCTAGTAATCCATGATTGTACGGAAGATGCTAGTTATATGTTTGTCTGAACAGATAACGTTGCAAAAAGAGGAAGTGATGAAATGGCACCAATACTCAAAAAATTTCTTAGCTTAAATATAGGGTGAAGAATAACATTTTGTTTTCTTCACCGATAATTGTCCCGATCAAAACAAAAACTGGCTTTTAAGGTTTTTATGGTTCCAGCTAGTGAGGGAACAAAAGTTTAACTCTTTTACATATTATTCTTATTATTATAAATGGCATCAATACTCATAAAATTTCTTAGCTTAAATATAGGGTGAAGTAGAACATTTCGTTTTCTTCACCGGTGATTGTTCCGATCAAAACAAAAACTGGCTTTTAAAGTTTTTATGATTTTTCCCTTATAGAAAAACGAGATCGAAAGTATGCTCTGCTTGTGTACTATTCCAAGAAATGGCAGAAATTTAAAAAAATCTAATAAAAAGAAGCCCTTTAGCCTTTTATAACTGTTATGAAGCAGGAAGATTTCTCAATGTACAACCACTCTTATAGAACATTAAAAAGAGTACTCGCACTGATGACCAGCAATCTTTAGATGTTTCCAATTTTTTTTCCTTTTTATTCAAGAGTGATTAGAAAAAAGAATTTTACGTTAAGCATTATGTGAATAATGCCTTTAACCTCGTTACTGTTGTCAAGAAGGGACGTCTAAATGTGTCCTCGGTATCTGACTAACAATAGAGGTATATTAAGATTATTCGTATTGCAAATAAGAAACTCTAAAGAGATCATTATTACCCTACATACCTTTAGTGTATTATACCTTCTACAATAGTTTACGAGAGTATGTCGGCCCTGATGTTGCTGATGAGGTCGCCGAGCTGGTTGACTAAATAAGATTTTGGGTATTTATTAATAATGTAATAATGTAAGAAGCCGCATTTTTCTAAATAAAGACTATTTTTGACGCTTTTTATTGTTTCACATTAAGCCCTTCAATTTAAATATTTTAAGCTATAATGTGGCCCGATTGTAACGCATTGAAAATCTATAACGCATGATTTATGATGTTCTACTAAAATTTTTTTGTTTTGTCATCAAAACTATTCTCTATGCAGACTTACTTTGATATAAATGCATATGAAAAATGCAAAATAAAACGTTTTAAGATAAACAAAAGTGTAAATGTGACTTAGGGCGAGCGCCCACCAAAGTGGCGTGGCAGTGGCAAGTAGCAAGTAGCACGCGTCTAGCATAATGTAACCAATGAAAACGAATGATTCAGTTTACACCAAAATGACAGTAACGTCATTCATTCTAATCATTCGTTAGGATTGGTTACATTGTGCTAGACGCGTGCTACTTGCTACTTGCCACTGCCACGCCACTTTGGTGGGCGCTCGCTCTTACACGTCACGATGTGTTTAAATTTTTTTTTCTACTCTCTTACTAGTTAATTGTATATTACCTACTATTTGGATGCTAAGTAAATGCATCATAACAGATACTGACACGTAATGACTAGCACGTAATAAAAAAAATTACGCTTCAGTTTTATAAAAATGTGTAATCACAATAGCCTCGTAAGTCAGTTGGCCGAGTTATCATGGAAACGAATTAACAGACGTTATTTTGACAGATTAAAAATTATTAATCTGTCAGTGTTAATATAGTGGTAATTAAATTTTTATTTTTATAAACGAAAATAATCGTAGAAAAAGTATAGTACACAACTTGAGTTGTAAGTTTATTACATGCTTGTAAAATTACTGCGCTCGCCGCTACGCGGCTCGCGCGCAACTTTTTTACTCGCATGTAATAAGCTTCTTACAACTCTCGTTATGTAAGATACTATTACGTTTATACAGACACACAATAGCCATATTTTGAAAATGGTATATATTACTTATAGCCATTGTTGCAAAATTTATAAACATTTCTGAAATTAAAAAATATGGATCCTATTTTCGCAAATTATGGATGGATTTGAACTTGTAAAAATTAAAGTTTATAGTCTCTTCGCAACACAATACAAAATCTTGCTCCTAATATAATTAAAAATGCTTCAAATATCAAACTACCTTTTTGGTCTTTTGTTTATTAACCGATCTGGCAGTAGCTCGATCCATATTTTTCAATATCTAAGTCCCCCTATGACCGAAAACGATCAGAAACCTGTAATAATTTATTTTACCTATTCTGTTTCTTAGGCTGTATAATAATATATAGCATGTTTCATTATAATAAAACAAATTATTGTTGTATAGATTTGTGATATAATTTTTTTTAACTTACCTTGAAAACATTTCATCATGTCTTGTGTTTTAAGTTCAGCCTGTTCCTGGTTCGTTAGAAGCTTTGTTAATTGCTTGTGTAGAGCTCTTATTTCAAGAACCTAAAATAATCATGCGTTATTTAGTTTTATTTTAGTCAATCTGTGGTAAAACCCTGTATAAAATTCTATTTCTACATCAATGATAATTATTATGTAAACACAATATACAGGGTGTGGCAATAATGAAATAAATACATTTATTCATTTGGCGTAAGAAATACGAAAAAAATAATTTAGTTGAAAGTTGCAGCATAGATAGAAACACACTTTAAATTTTTATATATTTTTATATATTTGAACAACCCCTATATTTTTATATATTTGGACGCCTCCTAATGTCCTCTTTTATTTAATATTAGGTTTATTAGTAATTATTAGTGTTATACGAGGTAGCTTAAATGATAATTAAGTTTTTTTATTAATTTCGCAGCAGTCCTCTAGGATTCTAGAAATTTTACACAAAAACAATATATTTATAAAAAAAAAGTCTTCGGTTAGTCTTCGTAAGTGGGTATATTTATTTAAAAAACCTTTAAAAGGGCTACATAAAAAAAAAACAAACGTTTTCGGACTAAACAGTCCATCATCAGGTTTAAATTTTAAAATTGCTAGGTTAAAATGCCTGAGCCACCAAAATACTTCAGGTAAGTGTTACCTGAAGTCATATTTAATTTAATACTGAACATCACAGTTTTTTAACAACAAGATGTATAATCTTTTACAACTATATGTAATTTAAAGGGTTTTTACCCATGTATTTTGGTGGCTCAGGCATTTTAACCTAGCACTTTTAAAATTTAAATCTGATGATGGACTGTTTAGTCCGGAAACGTTTGTTTTTTTAGATGTAGCCCTTTTAAGGGTTTTTTAAATAAATATACCCACTTACGAAGACTAACCTCTTTTTTGTGATACGTGGTATACAGCCAGCTACAGGAATTGTTTTCCTTGTGGATTATTTTAATATATTTACGTTCAAAAATTTTTAATAGACTCTACTATTGTATACAGTGCTTTTCAGATAAAACTATCCACCTTAAATAACTTTTGAACTTCTAATTTTTAGGAAAAACGCAAAAACACCTCAATTATTATTTGAAGGGGGAAACATTAAATCATATTTATGTTTTCTGGGACATGCACCCTTTCACCCCCCGTATAATCCCTTTATTTTTTTTTAAATTACTTCCTCCTTTTTTTATTTAATATTTGGATACTCCTCTTTGTACTGATTTCAGAAATGTATAATACACGATGCTCGAAGTGATTAGTTTATGAGAAAAATAAATACAAATGCAAAAAAATTGGATTGAAAAAAAAATATTTTTTAACAATTTTATTACACACATTTCCAATGAACATTTCACTACTAAAAATTTTTACAATAATTGTTTAAAATGACTGCCTTTCACTTCCATACAATAGTACAATCTATTTTGAAATTCTTCTCTGACATTGCTTAACACGTCTGCATTTTATTGTCGACATTTATCCTCTATTCTTTGTCGTAAATCATCTAGAGATTCTGGTTAAGTAGCAAACATTTTTGTTTTTAAATACTTCCATAAGAAGAAGTCGAGGAATGTTTAATTCGGTGACCTATTCCGGTAAGCTTCATCATGTTGAAATACAACCAAATCTTCGGAAAGGTTATCATAATTTTCTACTATTGTTCTAATACAATCAACCAGTTGCCTAAAGATTTCAAGATACGAAGCACCATTTAAGTTTCCAGTGATAAAGAAGGGTCCGATAATGTGATCACGTAGGATACCAGACCATACGTTTAACCTTTAAGGATGTTCGAGGATGTGAAATTCGCATACAATATGTAGATCACTCTTAGCCCAGTATCGGCAATTATATCTGTTCACCAAACCGTTTAATGAGAATGATCATTCATCCGAGAAGCAAATATTGTTTAACAATTGTGAATTGTTAATGATGTATTGTATCATTAATTCACAAATTCGGGACGACGATCAAAATCTTCTTACAGAATCAAAAACCTTTGCTTTTTGATTCCAGTACAGATTGACAATAACCCGTATATCTCGACTATCTACATTCTTTTCTTTTAACAGTTTTACGAGTTTCTGATATCGTTCTCTATCAAAAGAATTTTGATAATCTATAAAGCATACATACAGATCCTGGTTCATATCTAGTCATCTTTGCAGGAAAACGTTAAAAGCGAACAGAGCCTCTCTCGTTCCTAGTCCTCCTCTGAATCCAAACTGAATGTCATCTATATCTTCTTCTATTTTTTTGTATAGTCTTCCATGTATTATTTTAAGAAATATCTTAAGTGTGTGGCTTATTAAGGAAATTCTTCTGTACTGGGAGCATTCTGTCGCATGTACTGACTTAGTGGTAGTTTGGTAGTGTTACAAACGTCGACAGCAACCAATCTTGGGGTATAACTCCTGTTGTATATACTTTGTTAAACAGATCTAAAAGTATATGCAGTGTTTTTTTGTCAATGCATTTAATTAGCTCAGTGGGTATCTGATCTGGGCCTACTGATTTTGCGGTCTTTGCATTTCTATTTGCCTGTTCTCATTCACACATTATTATTTTCGGTCCTGTTTGTTCCTGTGGTTCTTCTTGTATTATTATATCATCGTCTAATAGTTTTATTATGTAGTCTTGCCAAGAGGTAATTACTATGGGTAAATGATCCGATTTCATGTCCCAACCATCAATAATGCCTAGGTAATTAAAAATATTTTTACGAACGAAGAAGTCTATTAAGTCAGGAATTTTATTTCTATCTGTAAGCCGATAGGTTGGTCGGCCAGAAGATATTGATTCGCACCTCTGTCTGTTGACAGCCAATAGAAGTACCTTTCCCTTAGTGGTAGTAAGTCTAGAGCCTTAATTAATATTCTTTGCATTAAAGTCTTTTTCCACCATATATCTCCCTCCTAATGTATTCAAGAACTCGTTTTATTGTTCATTTTTGATGGAACTCATAGACAGACAATATATTGAACTAACATTGATATATAAATACGTCTACAGCCGGACTAAACCGGATTATTTCTAATAGCTGCAAGTAAAGTTAGGAGAGCTATGCTGATCGCGAACATCCGGAATGGATAGATATCGTAATAAGAAGGATATTGATATCACAGGTTTTAGGTCTTATACATACCATAGGCGCTCGTAGATGTGCAGTTTTATACTCTAAGTCTTTATGATGAAGTATATTATTTTTAGTCACGATTGCACTACCTCTTTTGATTCATTATTAGAGTGTATTGTGTGATACACATTAAATTCTTTGAATTGTATGTACGATTTATTTGGAAAATGTGTCTCAGATATGATTAAGTAAGGTGTCAATTTTGTCGATGTCATTGATTTTACTAGCCATTTCTAATTTTGGGAATAGCACCCTTAGCGCTATGTTCCAGGCGAGTCATTATTCCATTAATATTTTTTTAGTTCATCTAGTATGAGTTGTAGAGTAATTCTTTTTCATTCTGGTTTTTCATTTGTATATTTGGATTGTTGGTTTTTAATGCATCGCTATAAATATGTATATCTTATTTATAATACCTCTTCCTCTTTGTTTCCAATTAACAGCACTTTATTTACTTTTAGTTACTCTTCTTTCTGGAAAATTTAGTAGTACGTTGACATTTTTTGTATTTCTGTTTATTTTCTGCATCTCCTTTGCGACAACTTATCCTCTGTAGTTGGCAGGCTGTTTTTCACCACAATAGACGCATTTTAGTTCTGCATTTTTTGGCATATTACAATCTTTATTTAAATACTGCTTCGTGCATTTATAAGTCTATTGACGGCAATTATTACTTTGTAACCCCTGTTTTGCAGATCAGCAGCAATATCTTTCTCTGAGCAAGAATGATGTATTTGTTTTTTTACTATAACTTTAAGCGGCCTGCCCTGCTTATTTTCATATGAGTGGTATTGATAATTTTCCCCATTTAAAGTTTTTGTTAACTTTTTATATTGTTCATAATTTTGAACAATAATTTTTATTACATTACTATTAATAATTTTTGTAGTGAAAAAAAATTTTCCAATTTCTTTGTCTGTTATTTCTCTGCTGAAAGGTCTTGGTTGTGTAAGAAAAGTATCCATTTTTAGTTTTCTGTAATTTTATGTTTTACTCGAATCCATTCAGTCTTCTTGGCTAATTCCTAGTCGTCTGTGCAGAATTCTACTTTTTTTGTTGGGTTTTGTTCTCTTTCTGCTGTCTGGTTGTCTTTTGTTGCAAACCCAGTAAGTCGTGTCTGCAACTGCGCTATTTGTCTTTCGAGAACAGCAACAGTTTCACTTAGTTTAACCTTCGGATTTTCGGCAGCTTTTTCAGCATTAAATAACGCCTGTTTATTTGGTGACCTTTGACAATTCTCTTTTGTGCAGTTAGCTGACACATCATGCATTGTTATTATTTGATCAAATAAGATACTTGTTAATTATTTTGGTGATAACTTAATGACAGTAAAAAGCAGTCATCGGATAAATGATATTCTTATCTTAATTATTTAAAGATAAGAGAGCTTCGCACAAACAATTTTACTCTTCAGCAATCAAATGAATATTGAGACCTATACAGAGTGGCCCAAAAGTCTGGAAACGGCCAATTATCTCGTAAATTGCGAGTTGTAATTGTACAAAATTTGAGGTACACGTATTTTGGGATACGGAGATTCCGTATTTGATATTTGCAATGTGGCCAGATTTCCTGTTTCTCTTATATTACTAGTAACTTTGGTTTTTTAAATGCATCATCCTGTATATTTAGTCATTATTGGAATCTCATATTTAATACTAGTTCAATTATATGTAACACTTATGATTTTATGTAGTCTGAAAGGTCTTAAATACATAAAACACAAGTCTGGCAACGCCTAATTGTTTCAATAAATTTTTTAATAGTAATTATTTTCAACTACATTAAAACGTAACAATTGATAGATAAGAACATTTTTTAACAATAGTTACGTTATTAAGTGTTCAAAATGTGCTCAATTTATGAGTTTACAGAACCCTAATCGATGGTAGAATGCGTCTATAACATTTCTCCATGATGGTCTAGAAACAATTCGAGATTCATCGATAATTCGTTGCCTTAGCTCTACAAGACTTGCTGGTTAAGTTTTGTAAACTGAATTTTTCAAGTATCCCAATAAAAATAATCCTTATGATTGAAATCAGGTGAACGTGAAGGACATTCAATTCTACCTTGTCTACCAATTTATCGTCCGGGAAATATTCTCATCTAAATAACGCCGAACATTTACACCAACTATCTGACGTTAAATTTTTTTTCGACAAAAAATGGCCCAATTGACTGAGTACCTACTATACCTGACGATACATTTAATTTTTGTGGTCTTTGAGTATGTTTTTCACGCATTCAGTGTGAATTTGCGTCACTCTAGTACCTTAAATTGTGTCGATTTACACTTCCACACAGTGTAAAGATTGCTTCATCGGAAAACATATTCTGTTAACGAAATTTAAATAATTTTCAATTGTATCCATCATTACTTCAGTAAACTCTAATCTAAGATCGAAGTCATCTTCACTTAATTCTTGCAATAAGTTTGTTTTGTATGGTTTAAACTTATTTTTAAGTAATATACGTAATACTGAAGAACGACCTACATCATGTACTTGTGCAACTCTGCCTGAGGATGTATGTGGATCTTCAACAAAACTTTTCTCTTTCCATCTATCTTTACCTTCTTCAGATTTCTCAAATCGCTTTACAGTTTTTTGTACCGTCGCCTTATGAATAGGAGAACTGTTTAGAGAACGGCATTTTAAAGAAGCAATTTAAATTGCAGAACTTTTCGAAATACAACTACTGTCAGTTTTAGTTTATAATGTAAATAGTGACCAAATGTCAATATCACAGCATTCTACATTTAAATATTTAAATTTATTAAAATCTACATATTTTGCACTGTTTTATGTATTTAAGACCTTCCAGATTACATACAAACATAAGATTTACATATTTTTGAACTCGTATTGAATAGTTGAACTCGTATGAAATTCACACTGAATGCGTGAAAACCATACCAGGCCAAAATTAAATATATGATCAGGTATAGTAGGTACTTAGTCAATTGGGTCATTTTTTATCGAAGGAAATTTAACGTCAGATAGTTGGTGTAAATGTTCGGCGTTATTTAGATGAGATATTTTCCGTACGATAAATTGGTAGACAAGGTAGAATTGAATGGCCTCCACGTTCACCCGATTTCAATCCTAAAGATTATTTTTATTTGGGATACTTGAAAAAGTGTGCAAAACTTAACCAGCCAAGTCTTTCAGAGCAAAGGCAACGAATTATCGATTAATGTCAAATAATTTCTAGACAATCATGGAGAAATGTGGTAGACGCATTCTACCATCGATTAGGGTACTGTCAACTCACAAATTAAGCACATTTTGAACACTTAATAACGAAACTATTGTTAAAAAATGGTCTAATCTATCAATTGTTACGTTTTAGTGTACTTGAAAATAATTAGTATCAAAAAATTTATTGAAATAATTAGGCGTTGGCAGACTTCTGTTTTATGTATTTAAGACCTTGCAGACCATAAAAAATTATAAGTGTTACATACAGTTGAACTCGTATGGAATAGAAGATTCTAATAATGACTGAATATACAGGGTGATGCATTTGAAAAACTAAAGTTACTAATAATATCAGAGAAACGGCAAATCTGGCAACATTGCAAATATCAATTATGGAATCTCCGTATCCCAAAATAGGTGTACCTTAAATTTTGTACAATTATAACTAGCAATTTACGAGATAATTAACCGTTTCCAGACTTTTGGCCAATCTGTATATTGGTTTACATATTAATTAAAAAAATATATTGAAAGCGAAAGAATTTGGTATTTATTTAGAAGTCTATGGAAATAAAAAAATACCTTTTTTAAAACGCCAAGTATATCTACAAGTTCCGATGGTTGATACACTTTATCCTTCCATGGATTCAAACCATAATTTGGCCAAAATATTTCTGTCAGTTGTTTGCAACTTGTCAACCACTTTTCATCTATTCCGATTTCTTGTGCTAAAGCTTCTGATATCTCTGAATATTCAGACGTCCATAAGTTGTAGCGTTTTAATTTGGCAACATTGTATTTTTGCACATCAGACGCTAAAAATTATTTATTATAATTATTCTGCAAGGAAGCAAAGTTTAGTACACATATATTAGCCAAATTCTTAAAGTTGTCAGCCATATTCTTTAAAATACATATATGTAAATAATTTAAAACAACCATTATATCCATTTTTTAATGAGAATTCAAAACAAAAGCTAAAAGTCTTCATTGTTCTTTCTTTAAAGATCTAATTTATTTTCAAAAACCATTAGGTAACTTAATATATACATAATAAGAATATATATGTAAAAACATGCGGTTTAAAAATTCAAAACAATTAAAAATTGTTAATATTTCTACCATTAAGTTTTAAGGTTACTGAAAAACATTAGAACCTCATATTCATAAAAATTATTTGTCAAAATAAATTTATTATTATGTGTCAAAATGAATTAAATATAAAAATTTCAATGTCAAACATTCATCCCTTCAATGTTCTCTAGATAGCCGTTCTAGAAGTACTTATACACTTAACAATGATCATGACGTTTAATAATATTTGTGGGTAAGTTAAGAGTCGTTAGATAAGATAAATTAGAAGTAAAATGAAATTCCGTGTTAGGAGATCAATTAAATTGATTTTATATTATGTTAAAATGTTATATAACACTTATATTATACTGGGTTTTCTTTACTCGCTTTTTATGCAAGAAGGTTCTAATAAGCTATTACCCTACACTTCGCATCAAATTATTACCCGATCTTTTAAAGGAAACACACACATATAGAGATCAACCCTGTACCTACAAACATGTTAATACCATTGTACAATGGCATGCACATGTCCGAAGATTAAACCGGTCTCACCTCAATGTGAAGTAGTACCTATCTGACTCCCAAGCTTTTCCTCCACCCCTCCCCAACCTGTGACTTAAGTCGGGAGCATTTATGATGCGATTTATGATCTTGAAAGTTACTTCGCATGCCTTGGGTAATGAAACACCCTCTGTTTCTTATGACTGTGATTAGGCCACCTATCTGTAGGGGTAGAAAACATATCAGCTTTTCTCCCAATTTGCATTACTGACTCTATATAGAAGTTACACTAGCCTGACTTCGGGACTCGAGTCCCTAAAAAGGATATGTGTTACGAATAGAGGGCCACCCATCTAAATTGATGACTCTCTGTCCGAACTTTGTGTGTGCTTGGTCACTCAGCCGCCGATTTGGTACAATAAATTTTGCTCTCCTTACCAGCTGGCCATGTTCTGGCCATGATCATGCCAGAGTGGTCTGGCCAAGATAGCCCATGCTTGTCGCATATGGTCTCGATACGCAGGTACCGCATTAGAGTCTCTTTGTGACCTGCCATAATGATATAAGATGAATAAGACGGGCCTTTTATACTTATTCTTTTAGCTTAATTGAAAGCGTTGTTATTTAGTCGAACTTTTACAGAGTATTTAGTGCAATGACTAAAGGTGTTTTCTTTATCCTTAACTATGTGGTGAGCATTCTCAAGTGTATAATGCTATCACACACCCCAGGTATATTTTTACTTAAATTCTAGTGCATGTATATTGTTCTGGAGATTTTTTGGCCTTCTTTCACCTCTTGTATTGACTGTTACATAGCTATCTTAGTATTGTTAAATTCTGCTGGTCCACCCTATATCCTGCTAGTTGTTATTTGGGCCATCTGTACACTGTCCTTAGCTTTTAATCATAGTTTGTTACCTCTCTTTAACTCCCTCCCCTGTTGGAATGGTTTCTGAGGTCGTTGAAAATCTCGTACGCTCTCTCGTCCATTGTTCGTAGGATCTTCTTTTGGTTTGAGTCTCTATATATGTACTTTGAAGGTACGTATTTTGTTATTCCCAGCGTTTGTCTGATTATGGAGTTTTAAACTGTTTGGATCCTCCTGTTTATTTTGCACGTTTGTGCTCATGCTCTAATTTTGGCTCAGAGGAAGACTCTAATGTTGGCAGGATAAGGCTTTTTGCAGCTCTGATCTTTTTTTGAAACTTAGATTAATTTTCCTGTCTATTAGCGAAGAGAGTTGACTATGTAATGCTTTGGCTTTGTAGACTGTTTGGTTTACATGTTTCGTAAACGTCAGCATTTTGTCAAGCGTTATGACTAGGTAGTTAGCGTAGCTGGTCCATAATATTGGCTTGTTAAGTAATATTAGATCTCTATTTGCTCTGCCTCTTCTGTGTTGGTACATGATGGCTTGTATTTTTTCAGGTTTATTGTTACTTTCCATCTTATGTACCAGACGTGTATGCGATTTAGAGCTCTTTGTTAACTGTAGCTAGTTCTAGATATGTACTACATGCTGCTATTGCAGTGTTCTGCATATAAACTCAATAACGCTTTGAAATCGGTTGTGTAGATAGTGTACGGATAAGGCGACAGCATTGTTCCCTACGGCACTCCAGTCTCCATGACTCCAACCCCGGACTCGTGGTCGAAAGCCTCTCTGGAATCTGGATACGATGCAAGAAGACATATCATCGTCTTACTGTATGTATTGTCGTTCATTTTGTACAGAAAGCCTTTATGCTATACTCTGTCAAAGGCTTTACTGACTTCTAGGAAGGTAGCAGCTGTATACATATTTTCATTGAAGCCCTTCGATATTTATTCAGTTAATCGCAGTACTTGTGTTTCGCATGAGTGCTCTGTTCTGAATTCAAACTTTGCCCGAGGTATTATTTCTCTTGCTATGGATTCTCCTTTCGGCCTGGTTATTATCACTGTTTTTGCAATTTTGCTAATTGATAATAATATGCTTATAGGCCTGTAATTTTGTTGAAAGATGCCATTTTTTCCTGGTTTTTCGATGGGTTTACACTTTATCTACAATAGTATCTGGTAAATCCCAAAAATTATTTATTTGTTGACCAATTAATTGTCAATAAACACTGTTTGGTTGACATTTTACTCAAATTAATTTTTACGCATCATCTGCAGGAATTTTTTTTTGGAAATTCTAGCACTTGTTAAAATAGCCTTTCTTGATTCTCACTACTTGATACGATAAGTACAGCCTTTGCGTTAAGGTATATTGCCTAGTGGCGTAGAGATGTTGTAACACCTCTTAAAAACCATTACTACATAGTAGTGGCTTCTAAATTTTTCATAAAAAAATTATAAATCAGTAAAATTCTATGATGACAAATATATGTCATTCAATGCGTTTGACGACTCGAACATATCGGAAAAACTACTGTAAGAAAATTCATAGATAACTAGCTAATTTTTCAGGATGCTTTCATTAACAACAGCAAAAATTATTTTTTATATTGTCTGCGGAACTTTTTTGCCGATTTTCCTGCCTGACGGGTGAAATGTTTTGGGAAAATAAAGCCCCCGAACAAAAAAAAGCTGTGTCAGACTCGGTCTAATGAAGCGATAATCAAAATTTTGAGAGAGTATCTATCATAAACTTATTTGCAGATACGCACTCTTAACTATTATTACGTGAATTTGATTCTTGTGATAACGTGTGATACGTGATAATTACTATTATGAGTCACGTTTTGAAGATCTTTCTGCAAGTAATACACAGCAAAATTTACACGCTGTTAGATAACAGAATTAGCAATATTCAATTTGGGTTTAGGAGTGGCTTGGGTACAAGAGAAGCCTTGTTTAATATACATGTGCTAGTACAGAGATGCAGAGTATATTGTTTAAACGTGTACATTTGTGCAATCGATTTTGAAAAGGCTTTTGACAAAGTCCAACATAACAAAATGCTAGAGATATTGGAAACAGCTGGATTGGACGATAAAGATTTTCAAATCTATACTGGTATCAAGTGGCAAGAATAAAGGTTAAACAAGAACTGTCGGATGAAATAAATATAAAGAGAAGTGAGACAAGGCTGAATATTGTCGCCTTTACTTTTTACCTTATATTCGGAGGAAATATTTAAGGAAGCCTTAATGGAGACAACCGAAGGTATTATTGTAAATGGAGTAACAGTCAACAGTATTAGATATGCCGACGATACCTTAGTGCTTGGTAATTGTGGAGAAGACCTTCAAAATCTAATGAACAAAATAAAACAGACTTGTGATCAATATGAATTAAAACTCAACGTTAAGAAAACTAAATATATGATAGTTAGCAAACAAAATTATATGCAGGAGGACGGTATAAAAGTCGGAGATGCCACACTGGACAGACCGAAGAAACTAGTGTATCTCGGCAGCAATATCAATGAGAGCTGGGATCCAACCGCAGAAATTAAAAGCCGAATAGAACAAGCCCGAGCTGCCTTTGTAAAAATAAGAAACGTACTTTGCAGTCACGATCTTAGCATTGACCTTAGAGTTCGAATAACATCTTGCTACATCTTTCCTGTCCTGCTGTATGGAGTGGAAGCGTAGACTCTAACTGAGGCTATCCTTAAACTCTTGACAGCCTTTGAGATGTAGGTATACAGACGACTACTGAAAATAAGCTGGGTTAACAGAGTTAGAAATGAGAAGGTCCTTAGACGGCTAAACCAAACAACACAACTGGTCAATATAAAAAAGAAACGCAAGCTGTAATACTTCGGTCACATTATGAGACACCCTGAAAAATATGATCTTTTGCATCTGATCATTTAGGGAAAATCCAAGGTATTATTGATCCTGGTAGAAGCAGAACATCATGGCTGAAAAATCTAAGGCAATGGTATGGAAAATCAACTACATCGTTATTTAGAGCTGCTGTCAATAAAGTCAAGATAGCGAATATGGTAGCCAACATGATATCAACGATCGATAACGGTCATGGAAGTAGAAGAAGAAGAACTTTTATTAGTTAAGTTATTATAAAACCAATCGTAAATATTTTCTTTTCTTTTTTTTACTTATTGAAACTGCAAAAAAGGTTATTTAATAATAGAAGAAAACGCAAAAAGTTATATAATCTTAAAAGAAGTGTGAAGCGTAATAAGGTTAGTTGAGTCATCTATAGTCTATAGTTGTAAAAATTCCAGGAATATTTGATTTAAACGTTTCATACATAACAATTTCATTAGTTACACTTCGTAA